TTCCAGGTCGGTGGATCAGGTAGGACGCATCAAAGACTTTATTTCCCTATTTTCTCCCTGAGTTGTACATTTTCCTTATTTCCTTTTCCCTTGTAAATAAGCCTTTTATTGACCTTTTGTGTGTGCCTGTAGTGGAGTATTAATAAGTCCCTTTTAAGCGCGGGGGTGAGGACCCACAGCCAGGCAACCCGTTCAATATCGGGGCTGCCCTATAACAGCTTCACCAAGTCACGACTGTAGGTTCTCACTCTGCCACTGCAAAGTGATGGTGACAGGGGCACCAACAGTCCCAAGAAAGGCGCAGCAGCCAGCAGCTTAGGGGTGGCTCCAGCAGGCCCGCAGGCGGTAAGTCAAGAGCTCCGAACTTAAGTTTAGAACTGCCCGACAGAGACCAGGTAACCACGACGGGCCCATTCTCCCCTTCGCAAAATCGATGACCTTCATGGAGCTCCCCCAGCCCCATCTCCTGCCTCTTCCAAGTCCGTTCAGTGCCAGGTGATGCGCGCTCGGAAGCTCAGGACGCGAGTGCACCAGGGCGGGACCCGCTAGAGGCGCTCTACCTGGAAATCCTTTTACTTCGGGAGTCTGCTCACCTGCAAATCGGAGGCAGCGCTCCTTAACGCACAAGAATGAAGACATCTATGAAATAGTTTATTAAGTGTCAAAACAGTGTTGTATTACATTCGAAACACAATAATTAAAGTTCTTTATAGTCCCTAGTGGGACGTGTCGCCACACCGAAGTTGGCGTCGCCCTAATGCAACTAGAGGGTGGCGTCTAGTTACAGACGCAGACACGGCCCGTTAGTCTTGTCACCTCTGCGCGGAAGGACCCGGGTGCCCAATAACTTCCTGCAGGCCCTCGCCCGCGCCCTCAGCATTTTTTGTCGGGGAAACTTATTCCGCCAACCGGAAAGGCGCGCCGTTCCACGACACTTTCCTTTAACAGTCAGCCAAGGCCCCGCCCACTACGGAACGCGAAGCGGGTCTCCTCGCGGAGGCCGTCTGCAGAAGCCTTCCGCCACACTGTCGCCAGCCGCCAGCCCCGGCACAGGTAGACAAAAGGCGAGGGGGCGCCGAGCGGGTAGGGGGCCCTGCAGCAGGTGCTGTTAGGGACGTGCCTGCGAGAAGGCGGCACTGCACTACGTCGTGTTCCGAGGTGTCGCCCATCCCGCCGGGAGGGGCGCGAAGGCCGCACACCTGGCCGCAGGGGCGGGGATTCACTGGACTGAGAGTCTGAGCCGCGGGACCTAGTTCCAGCGCCGACATTTCAGTCCCCTGAAAGTCCCTGCTCGCCTTCCGGGTGCACGCACGCACGCACGCACTCACGCACCCTCTGGACGTCCTTACGTCCCATGTCAGGACAAGAGGCGCTCGCGAGCCATTTCTCGGGTGGGCGCGGCCTCTTCCTGACTCACGTGACCTGCTCCGCTTGGCCCGGAAGCCCTAGCGACCTGGTAGTGCCTGGGCCTGGCCCCAGAGACAGACGGGTGGCCCTTAGAGTTTTCTTACGCTTTGCGTCTGCCAGGGGTGGCCTAGTGGGGAGGGTCGTAAAGTGGTAGTGGGATTTCTTTTTTCCCCACTTAGCTTAAGTATGCTTCATGGCCTAAGACTTCTGAAAGAAGTACGTTTAAGTTTTGTTACCGAAAAGCCGCAGTTCCAATGACAAGTTATGAAAGGCCTCAGGCTAAGAAAGTACACAGTGGAGGGACGTCTGGAAAAGAAGCTACTGCTGGCTGTTGTGCCAGTAAAGGATGTCAGATTTATTCCCTGCTTCATAAAATTTACAGTCTAGTGGAGAAAAACTAATTTATTAAAGATAATGACAAGCTTATAATAAGTGTCATAAACTATACTGTGCAAACATTTGATGTTGCGTGCAACAGACAGGAGGGTGGGGGTGGTAATGGGAGATTTGGGAGAAAGTTTTGCCCAGAGAAAGATAGCACTAATAAAGATAGCACTAAGCGGTTACTCAATCACAGGGGTGTTTCACAATACAATTAAAAAAAATTGTTTCAAGAATCTGAAAGACTAGTGTGGTTTAGGGTACAGAATGAGTGCAGAGGTAGAAAGGGCCTTTTGGCCTCATGAAAGATACTGGTGTTTAGTCTTGGAATAGTTTTAAAGTGAGGCAGGCACTGGATGTGGCGACAGTAGTGCAGGGGAGCAGTGTTGGGACATTCAAGTGTGGTGAAAGACTGGGTGGTATATTAATCTAGGATAGCAAAAATAGATGATTTCCATAGGCCAGTTCTCCCTTATACCCGCGTATTTAAATCATGATCCAGGACATCTCCTTACAAATATATTAGTACCTCCTGAAGAGGTACAGCAAAGAGATAATGCAAAATGATGTATTATAAGGAGAATGCAGCTGGCCTTAGGAACAATAATCATTTGATTACTTTTTTCGGTACAAGAATATTCACAAGCTTTATTCATAATAGCTAAAAACTGGAAACAGCCTAAATGTTCAGTAGGAAACTGGGTTTAAGAATTGCAATATATTCATATACTAGGACACTTCTCAGAATAAAAAGGAACAAACAGTGTAACACTGCAGATGAATCTCAAAAACGTGCTGTGATGCCTTGGAACAGAGTGCTGTTTGATTCCGTTTATATGAAATCTTCGAACTGACTATAATGGAAAAAACCACAATTGTTGCCTGAAGATGGAGGGTGACTTGAAAGAGATGTGAGGGAACTGTCTGGGGGGATGGTAATATTCTACCTGTTTAAGAGTTTTGGTTACAGCAGTTTTGTATTTGTCAAAACAAATCAAATGATACGCTTGAGATGTGTATAACTGTAAATTTTGCCTCAAGAAAAAAATTATAAGGGAATATTGAACTTCAGTTAATGATGAGTTTACTGAAGTTTTTGAGCATGAAGTATACCAGTGTCTGCTGCTTACTCTGAAATACAAAATGTTTCAAAAGATAAAATGAATGGAAAGTGGAATAAAAAGATGGAAAGATAAGGCAAGCAATAGAATCTAAATGAATGGGTATTAGAGTATTGTACAATCTTTGAACTGTACATTTAAACATTATCATAATTTTTTAAATTAAAGTTGGGGGAAATAGTCCTCCAAATCTAGACAACTGAAGAATAAGAAGAGGATATAAAGAACACAACCCAGTATCACTTGAAATACACAGCATGCTGAGTTAAGGTGACAGCAGAGGGTTTTCCCCTTTTTCAGTTTGAAAGTAATCTTTGGATGTCTCTTTGGCTCCCGATGGCAACGTGAATACCTTGTTTCCGCATCAGCTTTTTATCCTTGGTTTTCCCATTTATCCTTTCCTGAATCATTGACAGGAAGTGACAAAACTGCTAATTTTCAAATTACTTTTACTTGTCTTCTCCATTTACTAGCTGGCGTTCTCTAAAGAAGAACTTACCCTCTTCATCTGGTGATGATTACAGTTCTTCTTTAAAAGGTAGGATATTTCTTTTTCTTTATCAGTTTTCAGAGTTAGGAGTTCAGGGTAATAGTCACATGTAGTGTGGTAAGTGATCTTTTTTTGTAGATTTTTGTAAATTTAGTGTGTTGGGATGAATTTCAGTAATTTCTTAATGTTGAACTCACACACCATCTGGCTAATTGGGAGTCACTTCATGCTCCCAAACTGTAAATGAAATATGAACAAACAAAATAAAAATACTATTAGGGAAATCTGAAAGCTGGATATTTGATGATATAAAGGGGTATTTATTAGTTGGCATAATGGTTTTGTAACTTATGGTCAGAGCTCTTACTCTCAAAGATGGCATACTGGAGTATTTACTGATGAGATGGGATTTACTTGGCAATAGTTCATGGATGCCGAGGGTGGGGGGTGGGTAGGTGAGTGGTGGAGATGGAACAAGTTTGGTCAGGTGCTTTTAATTAGGAGGCTGAGTGATTGGCTTTATTATACTGGTCTTCTCTATGCATGTTTGAATTTTTTCCTCATTTTTTAAATTATGTTGCTATTTGTACTTCAAATTTAACATCATAGGATTTTCTTAACTTTATATTGGTATTTTTCTCTATAAAGAGCTTATTTTGTAGAGACATAGATCTTCAACTTTGCTAATCTAAATTTAGCTAGTGTTGAAGCTGAAGTGCTATATAAATCACAAAACTTTAAAAATTTTGAGTGGTAAAGAACTTTTTTAGAAGTTAGTGTTTTTCCATTCTTTTTTCTTTTCTTGAAAAGTGTCATTCAGACCTTTTTTTTTTTTTACCTACATCATTTTTTTGAAGTAATCCCTTTTGTAAACAAATAGAATTTATTTGTATAAAAGATACTTCCTCCTAACAATTTTGACAGATAATGTGTTTTCATAAATTTCTTTCCATCTTTGGTGCCTAGCTTGTTTATTTATTTACTTGTTTTTTAAAAATTCTACATTTTGAAATAATATTTTCTCTTAATGTATTAATAATTCACTAAGGAGAGCATAACTGCTAGTTTCATCCTAACGCATAGTGAAATGTGGGATTTGATGTTACTGCCATTTTCTGATGATAAGTGGAAAAAAAGTTCTTTTTAGACTTCTGCCTTTTTGGTTTGGGGATGTTCCCCTTCAAGAATTTTCTGTTATTTATTAAACAGTAAATAGCTTAGCCATTTAAAATCAAGTTCACCACCATCTCAGAACTTTACAGCATTTATACCTAGAGTCTCCAACCAGTTAACGACTACCTATTAATTCACCTCATGCAGTGTGGATGAAACATCTGGCTATAGACTGAACTGTGCGGCAGCAAGGCAAGGGGCAGATTCCAGAGACAGGTGAAGGAGAGTCCTGGAGCCCTCAGTGACTTTTTCAGGCTTTTACTGATCTTTCCACACCATTTATACTGAGGCAAACAGGTGCAGGGCAGGCAGGGAGGCCTGAGAGCCTCCCAGACCCTGGCGAACTCTTGACTCTTTCCCTTTGGGCTCTCTGACATTCTCTTGAGGTCATTGTCCTCTGTGATGCTGCTCTTATATGCACAGCCTGTCAGCTCGGGTGTGCCCCATTACTCATGCCCACACCATACTCCAGGTGTCCACCATCCGGCATGCATGCCCTGAGCCCACATGCCCAAGTGCCTCCTGCATTTAAGGCCATAGGTGATAACCACAGAGGCCAAATGGTGCAAAAGCCTGAGCATGTCATTTACCCTACATTCACTAAAGTCGGTGGACATTCGAAATGCCAGCTGGAAATGTAAGGGGTACAGTTTACCAATGTTTGTGTGTATTGGAGGGGAGTGAAGCATCGGAAGACTGAGAGGTTAGATGCCAGCACACTTGGCCATCCTGCAGTTTCCTTTGGCTCATACTGCCAGGTGCTCACCAGTACATGTCACGCCAGGCTTTAGTGTTAGGAGCACAACAATGAATAAAATGGACAATTCCATTTTCTTATGAAGCTTATATTCTAGTGAGAAAAGATTATGAACATGTGTAAATAAATATATGTCAGGTAGTACATTTTTTTAGAAGATGAGGTAGTGGGTTTGAAAGTGTGCTGGGGTGCGCTGTTTTATATAGAATGGACAGACAAGGCCTAACGCAGATGAACCATGCAGCTCTCTAAGGAATGGGGACTTCTTGGTTTAGGCACCCAAAGGAGAGGTATGTTCAGGCTTACAAGGGCGAGCTGGAGGAAGGGGTAAACACTGTGGGCAGAGGCTGGGACATGGAGGGCACTGTAGGCCCTTGTGTGGCTTTTATTTGGCTTTTACTCTGAGTGAGGTGGGAGCCAATGGAGAGTTGTGAACAAAGAACAGGTATGATCCCACTTAAACATTTTGAAGTACCATTCTGGGCATGTGTAGGTAATAAATTATTGGAGGTCAGGTGAGCAGAAGTAGGGAGGCCAGTCAGGAGGCTATTACTGTAATCCAGGTGAGAGATGATGGCATTTTAGAGGTTGAACAGTAGGATTTGCTGATGAATTGCTGAGAGAAAAAGGAGAGTTGAGGATAACTTGCTATTTGCTAGCATTGACCTGAGCAACCAGAAAATTATGCTGTCATATGAGACACGGAAGACCGAGGCAGGAGCAGGCGTAGGGTGGGAGGTCCAGAATTCAGTTTGGGACCTGCTGACTGACACTGAAGTGACAGTTACCTGAGCGGAGCTGCCAGGTAGGCAGTTATTAATGCTGCAAGTTTGGAATTCAGGTGAGAGTTCAGGGCCAGAGTAATAAATTTGGGTTTGGTCCAACTACGTAAGGAGGGAAGTGAAAATATGCACATCCTGTCACATTCTATCCCATTTACTGTGTCTCTCTCACACACACACACCCACTCCCAGCCCTGCATCACTTGTCAACATGGGGCATGAGGAGTGGGAAGGGTCAGTGGGTTGTACAGCCCAGGGGGATCAAAGCTGGGAACAAAGAGGATTTCCAGTTTTTTTCTCAGGTCACTCTCATGCAGGTAACTCAGGGGCCATTCTTTGAGAAGAACCTCAAGGGAGGGAAGGCATTTCATCCCTTCCTCTTCCTTCTCTGACAAGGCCTACCTCTCTGAGTTCTTGATTTTCCAGTAATTCTCAGCAAACCCTAGGGGCTATGAATAGGTCTTATCACTCCTTCAGAATGTTCTTCTGAGGTTTATCTAGTATGTAAATTTTTACATGTGGATCCAGAACATTCACAGATGACATTGATCCTACAGCCTCACATGCTCCTTTCATGCAAGCCACAGGAATAAATGTCAAGCCACAGGAATAAATGACTGAATGTTAATGAACTTTCTCCTTACTTTTTAGGATGGCTGCCCTTTTTCTAAAGAGGTTAGCACTACAAACCATAAAGACTGAAAGTAATTTCACTCGAAGATATTTGGGGAAATATCTGGTGCAACAGACAGCACCAGCGCACTTGGCCCTTGTTGCTCCCGCCCCCAGGCTGTGCTGCCTAATTTCTGCAAAAGCTTTCAGTACTGTGGAAGGTATTAAGGTTGAAAGGACAAAGAAGAAAAAGAATGACACAGCTTTTAGTAACATTGGAAGAAAAATTCATGAACGAATTATTCATGTACTTGATGAGAAGGGCAATGATTTGGGAAACATGCACCGAGCAGAGGTGATTCGACTCTTGGAAGAGCGCGACCTGAGGCTGGTGAAGAGAAATGTGGCAGCAGAGCCTCCTGAGTACCAGCTCCTGACAGGGGCTCAGATTAATGAAGAGCGATTGAGACTTAGAGATATGGAGAAGGCTAAATCTAAAACTGGTAGGTGTTTTGTTCTTTCCTCCCTGACTCCTAAGGACTCCAAGTCAACAGTTTAAACTCTGCCATTTGCCAAAGTGTTGGTGACGGCAGGGAACTAAAAAACTGGAAAATTCATGGTTTGATCACCATTTCCAATGCCTTTTTTCCCCATCCATTATTTGTTTTCATTCCTTTTTTCCCCCCCTTCATTTCCCTTCTACCCTATGCCCATTGTCTCTTCCTTTAAACCCATGTAAAAGGAGGGAAGAAACAAACCACCACCAAAATGACAGGGACTCTTTTTCCTCCTTTGTCCTTAGCTTTGTCTCCTAATGCTGGGGGCAAGCAGAGTCCTGACTGGAGCTAATGAGAGAGACTTGAAATAGAGGATTCAAGTCCTGGGCCACTCACCTATCCTCCTTCCTCCCCACCCCCATCTCTAAGGTGGGGGCATTTGGTTAATTACATAGCACTACTTTCTAAATTTTTAAGTGATTCATACACCATCTCCCATGCCGGAGACATGGGAGATCATCGTTGGTTCAATAATGATACATTCATTTTGAGCAGTCACCCTACAAAGCACTTGTCATTTAAACCTTACAGAAGCCCTGGAGTGACTATTAAGCGTGGGTGGTGGTTTCATGATTGCTATTAGTGCTAATCATTATGAAAGATTGTTTTTTGGAAATGTACTGGCATAAGGGTCAGTGGGCTAGGCCTAGAGTTCCACTGGGAGGTAGTGTCTTGAGAAAATCACACACTTCTGTAGCTCAGTTCTGTACACATTTAACCACATTTAATGAGGAGGTTGACTATAAAACAGATATTCAGACCAACTAGTGTGATAAGGATACCAAACTGTATCACAGGGGTAAAATGTTGAACAGACAGAAGCAGCTTGGAGGAGACACGTTGCTGTGTTCAGAGCTAGATGAAGGGCTAATTTGTTTAAAGGGTTCCTTTACCATAATAGAGAACTGGGACCAACTGGTAGGAGTTCTAGAGAAGCAAGAAGGTGTTAATAAAAGAAGTCTTTTTTTAGAAAAATTACTTTTATTTTGGAAATTAAAAAGCACATAGAAAAAATACAACAGTATAAGTACCTGTTTCCCACCATCCCAAACAAAAAGCCTTGTCATACTTAAGATTTTTGAAACAAAACAAACTTTACAGAGAAGTAAAGTCCCCCATGTGCCTTCTCCCATTCCCTCTCCCCTTCCCAGAAGCACCTGTTCACTCCCGTGGACTCAGCATAGATTCAGCCCATTGTTAAAACTTCAATTATATACAAATACATTCATAAAAAGAATAGAGAATTTTGTATGCATAAAAATTAGAAGCAACACTATCTTCAAGCTATGTTTGTAACATCTGTACTAATTTATTATAATTATCAAGTGACATTTCATCATAGGACTATACCATCACTTTGTTAATCCATTTCTGTGAACACTGGACTTGTTTCCAGTTTTTTATCATTTGAATAGTGAGCATATCCACCAGTTTTGTCCATTGCATGTTCCATATACTATGGGGCAAATCATCACCCCCATACATCATCAGTGTATGAAATTTCTCTACATCCTCACCCGTACTTGGTATTGTCAGACACTGTGTTTTGCAATACTGATGGGTGAGAATCTGTTTACATTTTCATTTGTTTCCTCTTCTGTGAATTATCTATTCTTACTCCCATCTTCCTGCTTTGATGGTTTATTCCTACTATCTAGGATTCTGTTTTGCATGATAAAAAAACATTATCCCAGTTAAGATTTTTCACTTTTTGCGTTTTATTACCCATTAGTGTTTTTATATAGATTGTCAGACATTTCTTAATGAAATACTTCTCTTATCCTGAGATCATAGACAGCAATTTCCTATTTGCTTTTAAGTTGTATTTTTTCACATTAGACTGTCCATTTGGGGAAGTTTGTGTGTGTAATTTCTTTCATATGAAGACTCTTAGTAGTCCCTATGCCTTTAATTAGTGTTTTATGTTTATTGCAAAGTTAAACTTATTTTTAATGAACTATTCTTTCAGTGTTTTCAAATGATGGTAACAATAAATGGAATATATTTAAGTTCTCTTCTTGGCAGGTAAAAAAGTCAGTACTTTTATGTCTGTCTCATCTGTTTAAAAAGATATATGTACTGGTATGTGAAACTAAATCAGAAGAGGATAGTTTGGGTTCACCTAAGATTTTACGAAATAGATGTGGTCAAGTTCAGAGCTTGTAAATAGTACTAGCACCAAGTCTCACCGTTTCAAACTAGGACCTACCCTGACAAAGGAACTAACTTTTTCTTCAAATATTGGGCAACATGATTTGGACACAAAGAGTAAACAGATTCAACAGTGGATTGAGAAAAAATACAAAGTTCAAATTACTATAAAGAAGGGGAAGAACAAAGAAGAGCCAGAAAATAAAATGGTAAGTAAAAGTAGGTAAGAGTAACAGCTTGTGTTTGTTTTCTGATCAGAAAATATAATTGTACGGCCTCCCCTGGTGGCGCAGCAGTTGAGCGCTGGGCTGCGAAGCTACCCCCAGCCTCTGCAGAGCCAGCCGCCAGCGAGGGTCCCACATGGCGCACAGATCTCTCCTGCCGTGCCCACTGCTCCCCTCAGCAGTGTATTTCAGTCAGTCTGAAATACAGTCTGCTCTCCGCTTTGGCTCTGGTGAATTCTCTCACCCTCCCGCGCTTCTGACTATACCCGGTGCTTGTATAAATAAATAAATAAATCTTTAATAATAAAAAAAAAAATTGTAGGGCCTTCCTGATGGTGCAAGGGGTTAAGTTTCAGCACTATGAAGCAGTCCGCAGCCAATGCAGCTTGAGTTCGATCCCTGGCCAGGGAACTAACCCACATGGCGCAGCAGACCTCTCCTGTCTCACCAGCTGCTCTCCTCAGCAGTGTATTTCAGTCAGTTCTGTTCTGCTCCCCACTCTGTCTTTGGTGAATCCTCTTACCCCCCACACCTGTGGCCTATATAGGCTCTTGTATTAAAAAATAAATCTTAAAAAAAAAGTACAGTTGTAGAAAGTCTGGAAAAATGTAAAAGCAAAGAAAAGTGACTATTAATTCTACCCAGTGATAACAGCTTTGCAGTGTGTTTTTCAGAATGCAAGCAAAATGTATATACATTTTCCATTGTAGCATAAACATTTGCCATGTGAAAACATTCTACTTCATAAAGACTACACTGTTCTACTTTACAAATTATAACATATCTAACATTTAAATAGCAAAGCTAGATTTTATAGAGATTGCCTTTGTCAAATTTCTTTCCTCTTTATAAATGCCCATGAGAAGTATTATATAGAAAGTCAAATTGTCTTTTAGGAGGTGTGTATCAGTTGACAATCCCCACATAAGTTTAAAACATGTTTCACTTCTAGAGTTATGTAACTTATCAACTAAGTTTCCAACTCTAGTTCCAACTTAGAATTCCATATGCCTAGGTCTCTAGAATGTCTGTGTTTTTTAATCTCCCCAAGTGATTCCGTGTTAGTGAGTGTTAGGATCTACACTGAGCTAAGAAAGAGGATAAGGGTATACTCTGCCGATGCCCCAACCCATTCTTTTTGTTCTTTTTATAAGAGGGCAGTCTGGGGCCAAGGCTAGCCCCACAGTGCCTTCACAGACTGGGGATTTAAAACCAGCAACCCTTTATTGCATTAGTGTAGTTAAATGGAGTTTGTATAACTTCCTGGTCATTATACTGGTTTCACTCAGCTTAACTAGAAATGTACAGATTGATTTAGTTAATCACTTAAATAGCAGCACTTCAATAATGCTGCTTTTTATGGGTATAGAGTACTAACACTACGAAGAGTCAATATCATTATATTTGTTTTAACTAATCTTATTTGTTTTCCCTCTTTTAGGAGGAGATATTTAATCAAATACTTGAGACTATGCCTGGAATAGCTACATTCTCATCCAGGCCACAACCTGCTAGAGGAGGAAAAGCTGTGATGTGTGTTCTTCGTCCTTTGAGCAAAAAGGAAGAGAAAGCATATAGAGAAATACAAGGAACCCAGAATGAAGACACTTTGAACAAGGAACATGGAAATGATAGAGAATCGGATGTTCTGCATCAGTGATTTTAATTATAAAAAGGGAGGGGGCTTCTGAGAAAAATAACTTGAGCTGGCTGGCCTGCAGTCCTTTCAACAAAGCAATCTGGTGGTACTAGCTGAGGGCAAGTACTGCAGTTGTCGAGAGCACCTGGCCTTCGGTACAGTTGAGCAACTCTCTGTTTGTAGGTAAAGATAAGCCTTGTTCTTGTTTCTTTTTAGGAGGGATATAACCACTGAGATGAGAGGCTAAACTCCGTTTTTCACGAGATCGTTTCACCTTTGGAGATAATGCAAACAGACAATTAGAATTCAAAATTAAAATTATCTGGACTAATTTTACAATTCGTTATATATCCTGATAGGTATATGATACTCCTTTATTAAGAACATGAAGCACGTAATTGTTTTTGACAGTAGTGGAGATTCACATAATAGTAAGCACTTGAAAATAATCTAAATAGACTGCAGTTGACTTAAGCAATTTGTTTTAAAATGAACAGCTTGCCTAAGTTGTCTCAACTTACTTTGGGCTTCATTTTCTTCTTATCAGGATCATGTACCACTACATGCCTGGTGAGACTTTGCTGTAATGAAGGGAAAAAAAAAAACCAAACATGTATTTGCCGTTTGTTGTCTATTAATATGAAAACTCCATGACTTAAATAAACCATCAACCCTCTTTCAGTTACATTCTTATGAGGAATTTGAGCTCTACATTAAAGAAGTCCTCCCACAGGAGCAGCATTCTTTCTCAAAGCCTGGACTTCAATCACTGCCTTTTCCAAGGACCCAGGTTAGGAATTTATAGTCTTAACCACCTATTGCGTCTTAGTTCTTTCATAACTAAGTGGGGGGATGAAGGTGGGGGACCCAAGATGGTCATCCAGTTCTGAATGAACTATTCTAAGCATAAGGAGGTTCTTTTAACTGTATCTATGTCAAAAGTATTCCCAAACACCTAGCGGAAAATCCTTGATAATAACACTAACCACTAGCAGCTCCAAGTTGTTTTCTAATGATTTGGAACCTCATTTTTCTCCTTAGTCTTTGCTATAATTCATGGTAAGTGCTTGTAAGGGCACCAGCAGTTCCATTTGCAAACCACAGAGGCCTCCATTTATTGTCATGTCCCTACCTACTCGAATCACACCGAGATCTAGACTAGATTCCCAAAGTGCTGTGGCTCCCTCTTGTGCTTGCTGCCCACTTCCTATCTCAATTCCTAGGTGATGACAGCCTAACAGGATGGCTTATAGATGATGGCAATCTAAAAAGACACCCAAAATATCAGCGTACAACTTATGACTGATATGCATATAGTCAAGCCATTGGATCTCATTCAGATCACATAAAGAATCACCTGGAGAGTTGGTTAAAACACAAATTACTGGGCCCTATCCCTGGAGTTTGAGTAAGTCTAGAGCAGGGCCTGTACATGCACATTTCTAGAACATTTCCAGGTACTGTGATGCTCTTGGTGCAGGATCACAGAACTACTGGCACAAGCAAATCTGGTTATTCCTCAAACTTTGGTCAAGAACCACTCTGACTAACAGAGTAGAAGGTCTAGAGTCCTACTCACCCAGCCTTCCCCATCTGTAGGCCCCAGAACACCATCTCAGAATCTGGGCTCTGAAAGACTGCAGCTGTGAGGGTAAGTACTTACTTTCATTGCAAATGTTTTGCCACAGCCAGCATGTTCACACACAAATGGGCGCCTTTCCTCATGAAAAGAGAGAATATGGCTCTGGAGGTTAAATAGAGTTGTGAAGGTTCTATCACAGCCTTCTCTTGGACACCGACAGACAGTCCTTTCTGTAGCATGAGTTTTCATATGTTGCTTAAGATAATCTTTGCGTTTAAATGTTTTCTGGCATACTTCACATATTATTTCCTCTGGTAGAGCAAACAAATTAAACAAATTTCCCCAGGCATTACCATCTATAAAAAAATTTTTGACCTATACATGCATTTCATGCCTAAGACATTATTATTATATATAAATCAGAAATTTCAGAGGAAACTAACTTCAGTTCTTAGTCTTTTGAAAGTTTGTCTCAATTCTCCCAGGTTTTCTATTATATGTCACTTTGTCCCCTTGCCAAGGAGCTGAAGTTCTAAGCACGGTGGCTGTGGGCAAGTGGAGAAGTTAAGTATACCAGTTTCCTTCTTACCCTCCAACCCACAGGATACTGTTTCCCAAACTGCCCCAAAGAACACTAGTGCTTCCCAAAATCCTTACTTGTGAACCCCTTACAGCAGCTCTAAGACATGTGGTACAGTTCTGCCCAGCCTAGACCACAGAGCTCTCTGCTCATGTGTCAGACAGCTGAGGTCCCCAGCACTTTACAAGACCTACCATAGAAGCGCTCTCATTTTAAAGCATGTATTTTAATGTTTCACTCTTTAGGGCATTAGGTCAGTTTTAGGGAGGCAAATATTTATATCAGGCCATTCATAACTGCTTTACCTTTATGGGCTTCTCTCCCATGTTTCAGAAGCTCTGTCCATGTTTTTGCAACAAAGGAACAATCTTTCTGACATTTATAGCCTTAAAAAAAAAAACGAAAAATGAAAAAACACAAGCTAGATTGGTACATTGCCTTTTGTGAATATTTAAATGCTAATCATAACTAGGAAGGCAACATAACATGTCCCTGTAATTTTTCTCCCCCCTCTCAACAGTATTCTGTTAGTCTCAAGAGGACGGAATAAAAAGTAGGAAAAATTTATATTACAATAAGAGCAAACAACTGCACAGCATGGTGTTTCGTATGGGATTTTACTTTAGCAAATGTCATGAGGATGCCCCCATCCCTTGCTACTCTCAGTAAGCAGGACAGACCTCATGTGGATGCCTGGCTGCTTTAAGACCCACTGCTCTATCCCATGGCCACTTTCCCTTCTGGCTTTATGTTTACTTCTCTTTTTTTTTTTGGTTTTAAGCAAAAGAGCTGTGTGGTCCTTTGTCCTTGGCAAACCATCAATACTATATCTCAGTAGCCATGTATCCACCCCCTGGCTGCTTCTAGCCTTGTCATCTTATTAGTTTAAAACTGCAAAAAAAAAAAAAAAAAAAATAGTGTACAGCTAAGAAAGAAAGGCAGCTAGAAGATCCCAGGGAAAAACACTGAAAATGGACACTATACAAAGCACTGGAGTTGAAGTGATCAGTCAGTGTAGTTACCGACCCAAGTTTTACTCAATAATTACCAGATAGAAACTGAAAAGAACAAAACTGCCTCTCATCTACTAGTCTCCTGTTTTAAAAATAGGAAATCCTATAAATTCTAGGAGTTCAAAAAGTGGAATATAGTTATTAAAAGTCCCTCATGGAAACAGAAAATAGATTCAAGTAACTAGTTTAATCAAGTCTTTTTGAAAAAAGTTACAATCTGCTCCAAAAACTTCAGATTTTTATTCAAACCCTTTGGCTACCACCAAGGAAAAGAATGGCACAGGTAGCAAGTAGAATGGGTAAAGAACAATGAAGCTAAGAAGCAAACTTGGCTGGAGAATGAACACTTAAAGCACAACCAAGCACTTGATGTAAACCATAAAACATTCACTCTGAACAACAATGCCAGGGTAGTGAAAGAACAGGTACATGGGCAATGCCTCTTTGGTCAAAAGTATAAAACCTGAACAAACAAAATCATGCCCGCCCCTCTGCCCCCAATGCCTGTATAGTGTTGAGTTTCTCAGGATGACCATGATTTAGAAGTCAGAGAAATACACCATGTCCAGTGTGTTGCTCAAAGTGAACACCACAAAGCACGCACCCTCGTGCACCTTCCTGTGCCGTTTCAGCCTGCTGGGCGTGGCGAAGTCTTTTCCACATCCTTCATGGGTACACCTGGGCCAGTGACACACACGAAGTATTAGCCAATTAATTGTTCAAAGGAGTGCCACTAAAGGTAAATATTTTGTCCTTTCTCCTACCAATTTCCTCATTCCACAACCAAGCCAATCAAAAAGGAGATTTAAAAATTTAGGCCCAATTACAGATGAAATTGCCTTGGGGCAAAACAGAGAGAAAAGTCACTGCCTTTGCTTTTTTGTTGTTTAACAACAAAAACAAGTTTTTTTTGGCACATGCAATCAAATTAAACCCCATTTTCCTCTTTCCTCTGTATGCTTCTGAAATTATACTGCTTTTATGGCCACAAAAAGATGGTTTCGGTGAATACCTAAGTCACTCTTTCTAGTGAGAGTGCTCTGGGACGGTGAAAAGCAAGCAGATGCACTGAGCAGTAAAAAGCTTGTGCCGTTCTGTGCTAACACCATCCACAGCGCATGAGTAAGTGGGAGACCTGCCACCAAGGACAAGACTGTCACAGCAGCAACTCCCTAACAAAGGGCAGCCGGTGTGAGCAGGGAGGACAGCACCTGCCAGCCACGGCTGCCAGAGCCCAGACCAGTGCCCCTCTGGGCAACCATCCCAGGCGGGAGGGAAGCCGTGACATCCTCTGCAAGTCTATTCCAGTGTGTTAGTCACCCTTTCATGTTCCCCATGAAACCCTATAGGTTATTGCTTTCTTTCGGAAGGACAGGAATACTTAGTATCCTCATTATGGCAATTCATATAATTGAACAGGCTATCTGAATAGCTAAGTCATTTCTTCTCCCTACCTCAGGTGTAATCACAAGTGTTACAAATTATTCTGTCTCACAAATTATTTTGAAATACATTAAATACTTCTAGAGAAACAAAAGCAAAAGTAGCTTTTGAAGTGCCGGCCCAAAATATAAATGGGCATTCACTGGTCACGTTAACAGAAAAATGTTAAGAAACTTTTTCCAAACATTTGTACCCATCTTTGCCGTTCAATCTGAGTCCCACTTGAAGTTAAGAGAGTACCCATAGAAAGTGCCTACTTGAAGAGTGATTCGTTGGTATGCTGGCATTGATGGATTTTCAGTTGTTGATGTTTCTTAAAGGTCTTCTTACAACCTTCAAAACCGCACTGTTTAAGGAAGGTTTGTTAGTCTTGAGAAAAATCAACAGTTCATAACAGACTTATCTCAAGATAAAAATGTTGTGGAGATTATACACTTGCTACTTTTACCCATTTGTTCTAAAATTCTATGTTGAGAAGCTTTAAAGAGAAACATTTGAAACAGCAAAAATGTTTCCTTTGGGGTTGTCTTTCAAAAATGTACGTTAGTTAGCATAAATACATCATTATGCTCTTAACATAATGATTATGTTTTTAACACCATCATTATGATAGCAAGTGTTGGACTACATTCAGATATATGACACAAAATTTGGATAATGAAAATTATAGAAACAGGCAGTACAATTACATATATGCACAGTCACTCATACTTACTACATATTGTTTTTGCTGATTTTCATGTTTGCGCTCAAAATGTTTCTTTAGGTTTGATTTTGTGTTGAATTTCTGGTCACAGTCACTAGCTGTACAACTGTAAGAAATTGTATAAACTGAAATATTAACAATATAAAGGGAAATAAGTTTCAATATGCATATATCTTTCTATGTTATAAAAGCCAATTATTCCAAAGTACTATATAAAGTAATGTGACAAATTCCAAAGTATTTAGCTCTACCATGTAGGCTTCGCAGCTTTGATGTGATTATCACAGAACAAGAGGCATTGTCATGTTAGGCTTCTGAAATTCATCACCCTGTGTCAGACAGTCTTTATACACAGGGCAGAGGGAAGGTAGAAAACTAGTTCTGAAAGCCTAAACCTTCCTTAGGCTGAAATCATGTTTATATGATATTATTCTCACTTTAGAACCTGATAACCTTAATTTTGCTAGGAATGTCACTATAACTGCATTTCCAAAAAGACCTTAAAAAACTGGTTTCAGCTTATTAGAAATAAAAACAGATATTCAGAGCATGTTGCCAAATCATTCTCATTCAACCTCCCCCACCCCATGAGCTTTTTATAGGTTGGCTCTGAATTTATCTAAATTCTTTGTGAAGTTCTATTGTTGTTTTTTAGCGTTTGTTTGTTTTGGTGTGATAAGGCGTCATAAGCCTAGGTTGATGAAGCAGGACTTCCTTTACAACCCCTAACCTTAGCTCCCATTCACTGATTAACACTAAATAATACAGTGCTAGGCACTGTGCTATCCACAGGATGGACAGAGAGAGAGAGATGAGCAGTGCCCGTGGCAGTGGGAGTTATGCCCCAGGCCCACAGGAACCCATAGAAATGCCCTTGTGGCAGAAGCCATAGCAGGCTTCAACAGGTGATCTTGACCTCAAGAATAGAACTTGGAGTTTGGGCAGGTATGTGGTCAATGAAATAGAGCCATATGCTATGCGACTGGGGTGACCATATGGCTAGGTTTCAGGCCCATCATGCTAAACTCCCATAAAGTATCTAAAAAGAGGCATACCTACCTCTTATTCCATCCTGGTAACTGAAATGCTTATGTGACAGCTAAAGCCCCAACAGGCATCTTGGATGCCTGAAACCCCAAAACGAGGATGATAGAGATAAGTTAGAAGAATGCCAGGTCCTGGTAATGGTGGAAACCCTTTGATTCTCTACCAGGGCATTTCTGCATTTTTTTTTTTAAATCTATCTATTGTGCAGAGTTTTCTGTCACTCTTGACTTGAATCCTGCCACAGGTATCTAACACAGCACAAATGTGGGGCGGGAGGACACAGGAAAAATCTTGATAGGAACCAAATAGCAAGCACCTGGGCATAAAAGACCCCAGCTTAGTTGTATATGTGGCAGCAGGGGGCTGGGGAGGCAGCTGCTAGTCAGTTAAACATAGCTAGATCACACTTTAATGTCTTAAAGTCAAGCTAATGGGGCAAGATCATAAAAAGGCCAAATCACAAAGGGCATTTATATGCCAGACCAAGAATGTGGACTTTATTATGTAATGATGCTTAAAACCATTATATAGTTTCTAAAAAAGAAAGAAACCTAGAGGGCAATGTGGGACAATATCAGTCTAAAGGCAGAGAAAAACTTCAGTTGCTCAAATATGGAGTCAGGTTCTGAAATAACAGAGTGGGAGCTGGAGTAGGGGAAAGGGATTTGAGAGCAAAGTAATAGGTCTTGATTACCTACTAACTGTAGAGGATGGGTAGAGAGAAGAATAAGGAGTCCGGAGAAGCTGTCTTATCTTTGCTGTGGGTCACCAGGGAGACTATGATGCCACTCAACAAGAGAAGACAAAGAGGAGGAGAAGACAAAGAGAAAGCTGAACTGATTAAACTGGAAGAGGTCTGAGCCATGTGGAAGTGAAGCCACAAAGATGACAGAGACAGCTGCTGTCCAGCCAGCAGCTGAATGTGAGATCGGGAGCTAAAGAGAGAGCAAGCTGGAAAATTTACCAGACATTTGTCTTGTTCAGCTATGAATAATCCTCACCTTTCTTAACTCAGCCTGTGCATCTGTACCTAGTCCCAATTTTCCTGAAGATTTAGTTTTTAAAATCATTGTACATAACTTAGCTGAGAACCCACCACTCCCAAGACAGGTGACAACGTGTTTAGTTCTGCTAAAACTTTTAGGGTTTCTTTATACAAACAGAAACAAATATAAATACAGGTTCCTTCTACTTACCCCCTCCACATACACAAACACCTCTTTTTATACACAAAAGGGTAGCCTTCTATATACATTCTTCCAAACCTTGGTTTTTTCAATTAATAAGCCCTGGAGGAATTCTTAGCTTTTAGAAAGAATTTGCATTCATTTTTCTGGTTGTGCATGTATTCTAGTGTAGTGGGTTTAGATATAATCAGTCTCTCCTCACCAGCAGGTGCATGATCCCAATGCTTTGCTATTAATAGCGTTGTACATAATACTGGACACATTTAATACAGGCACAAGTGTATCTGTAGAATAAATTCCCCAAAATGAAACTTTCAGGTCAAAGCCTATATCCCAGCCCCATTTTCCCAATTGCCTTCATTACTCTTTGCTGGTCTAGTTGAACTATATTTTGAAATAAATTACACTTCACTCAGGGTCATTTATTTTTTGACAACATGCTCTGTGCTTGAACAGGGGCTAAAATAAAATCCGCCATCCTCAGCACTTTGCCCATTCCTGCCGGCGAGCACTCTGGTCAGAGAAGAGATGGCTCTCCACAGGAAAAATGAGACTGAAAATTATGCTGTATTACCAACTCAGACTATTTGGGCCTCAGTGAGAATGAGCCACTTTGCATTTGTTATCACTTAAAAACCAAAAGAAATCAACTAGGTCATTCGACAACCTTACTGTTCAAGGAATTGTCTCATAGAATGAAATTATATCAGATCCCAGCAGCTGCAACACCTGCCACACAGCTAATTCTGATATGGTCTCCCGCATATAGCTCTGGGTATCTATTACATTTATTTTGCCTTACTTTTTTCAATGAAAGCTAAGCATTGTCCACAGAACATTTTGTTGAGTGGCTTTCAATACATGGATACCAGACCAGCAGCATCAGCATCACCACTCTGGGGTCAGGTCCAGCAACCTGTGTTCTAACAAGCTCTCCACATGATGCTGATGCACCCTAAGTCTAAGACCCACTGCTTCAAAGAAACAGCTGATTTAAAACAAAGCAGTACAATTGTTAGGGGGAAAAGGATGTCCCAAAGCTAATTCCATATAGGCTTTGTGGACTCCACCCCCACCCTAGGTCAAAGCCAAAGACACTGGGAACTCCAAATCCCATCACCACCAAAGGGAAGGTGGCTGGGACCTGAGGGTGGGGTTAAGCAGCCAGGTTGATATAAAAGGCAGACACGTGGGCTTTGGAGGATCCCCCCATTTTTGGCTCTCCGCCAGCTCGCAGCGTCCGGCCAGCTGAGAGTGACTTTGGGTTTCCAGGTCGTCGGATGGGGTAGGACGCATTAAAGACTTTATTTCCCTATTTTCTCCCTGAGTTGTACATTTTCCTTATTTCCTTTTCTCTTGTAAATAAACCTTTTATTAACCTTTTGTGTGTGTCTGTAGTAGAATATTCATAAGTCCCTTTAAAGCGCGCAGGTGAGGACCCACAGCCAGGAACCCGTTTAATATCGGGGCTGCTCTATAACACATCCACCCTTTGAGAAATAATCAGCAACTCCAAAAATAAAATTAGAAAACTGGTGCAGTAGAGGTATAGGGAATTAATTTGAAAAAATACAAGATTATCTAGTAAAAGCTCTACTTCTTCATGTTTATATCTCATGCCAACAGTTTATCGGCTCATAGAGAGTCTCACAATGTGGAGCTGAAAATCTGCCAGGGAACATTTTCCATCTAGTTGAACAGTGTGATTTTCAAGGTTCATTTCTCATTTAGTATATATTTTAAAGGCAGATGGGAGGCTGCAAACTTAAGAGAACTTCAGATTGACTTGTTCCTGAAGTTATGATACACCAAGGGCCCACAAAACCCCCTACACTCTTCTACACGTTAAAACCCATCTCCTCTCCCATCAAGAGATACAAATGAAGACGCCTCACAGTCTTATCTTCTCTGTCAGCAGTTTTCTTACCAGGTCTAATGGCAAACATAACCACTTCAAAGACCTAAAAACAGTTCTCTACTTACACAAAAGGCTTTTCTCCAGTGTGAATCAGGCTGTGGCGGCTCAAATGGTAGTCCCTGACAAAGGCTTTGCCACACCCTTCATAGTTACACACAAATGGTCTCTGGCAGAAAGGAAAGGAAGAATATGTCAATCAGAGTTAGATAATATGGTGTTCATCGAAGTCTAAAATTTCTAACAGGTAAAGGCATGGACTCTGTCTCCACTCAGTAAACATGAACATCTCTTACACCTAGGCCAGACACAGTTTTCCTGCTTTAGGTCACACCACATAAATGGCACAGATTCTGTTCTATGAATAGCATATGAAATACACAGGCAGCCTGCAGGCCTTCACAGTAATGGTACAGCACTGTGGACTGCTCCCAATCTGACACTCGACTTCAACAGCAACCCCTCCTAGAGAGGACTTGTCTGCCGTAAGTACGGCCAATACGCACAGACTTCCACACAGCAGGGTTTTGTCCACCCAAAGTCAAGGACAGGAATATGCAGCATCTGTCTCATCTAGGACAAGCAGTGTCTGTGCTAATGAGCATGTCTGGTGCAGCTACAGGAAATGTGTTACACCTGAAAAAGCAAACAAGTGCCAGGACAAAGCAAACAGCTCACAGCCCAAATGCAGTCACCATTTGAGATCCAGAAGTTGAGGGGAGGAAAGTCCATTGTGAACCTGTAGGAAAAGTCAAATCTCCACACAACCAGCTATGCTTATTTAACATACCACCATGATATCCGGGTGCGGTCTGCAGCCCTCAAAAGACAGTACTAGTAGCAAAGCAGGAAGACAGAAAGATGAGCTGTACTGCTACAGTGGATCCACAGAATTCTGCACAGCTCCTGCCATGGAGCTATCCCCCATTCGATAAATACTTGCCAAAGTAATCAACATACGAGATTTGAGACAACAAAGAAGACTCCAAGTTTTGGAGTCTGTATGAAAGTTGATAGTGCCAAAATCCAAAATACAGCACATATGTCTACAAGGAAAGGTAAGTCTAATTTAGGGATATACTAGTTTGGGCCCAGAATCTGAGACAGAATGGGTGAGAGAAAGGATAGGGAGGCAGAGCATTATGGATGTTTGAAAGAAGCCAGTCACTGGGTTAGGTTGCTGAGAGAGAGCTGGGTAGGTTACAGTGAGAGGAGAAGCACTGAAAAGTATCAGTGAGGAGCTAGCAAGAAGGCCCCAAGGAGGGAATGGTCAGCCCACAAATGCTGGGGAGGGCAAGAGAATAGGGAGCATGAGGACACAGTGAGGAGTGGCTCATAAATTAGGGAGGTGTAGGAGCAAAGGACCTTAACTGAGGCAGGCAAAGTCAGACTCTGCCAAAAATTGGATGGATTCCTTGGCCTCCATGAGCCTCTCTTTCCTTGCCTGTCATCTTCCCAAAGTCTCTTATTACCCTCAAAATAAAATCCAAACTCCAAACCCATCTGTACCCTGGTCTACAGTAACCCCTCTACCCACCCACTCCCCAGGCCAGCTTCTCAAACCACCTACTGTATGGTCCCCCACCCAATCTCACTGGCATGTTGCCACCCCCCAGGACCACGGGCTTTTTCTGCAATTTTCTCTGACCAGGTTTCTTCCTTCTGCAGGATTAGATCCATTCCTTCTCATTTGGGTTACGAGAGGTCTTTCCTTGCCACCCGCCAATAGCCCTCCCTTTCCTCTGTCTCATTCCTTTATGTGTCTATTCCTTTATGTGTCATGCCCGCTAAGATCTGTGACAGCAGAAAAGCCTTTGCCTGTTTTATTCACTGCTGTCTCTAGGACTAGAATGGTACTGAGTTCTGCAAGAATGAGCACACACTACTTGCTAAACGTCCAGTTTAGCAAGAAGTTATCCCCCATTCTATTCCGGTGCTTATAGCACGTGTCTGTAGGCAGGGTAGGGGGGGCTGCCTTTCAACCACGCACTAATTTACACATTATGGGACGGTGATAACTGGCCACAAGTAAGGATCAAAGGCAGAGTCTTGTTTAGTAAACCCCGGGCCCATGGCATGGCAATCTTGGCCCTAGAACTTGTCTACTGGCGCAGCTCCTTCTCTAACAGAACGCAAGCTGTTTGGCTCCTGCGCAGCAGGGTGAAAAAGCTGAACCTGTCTTGCAAAGTCTGGCCAACGCCCCTGCGCATCCACGCACAGCCCCCAGGCCACTTGGGCAGGCCCAGGGCGGGTCACCACGTCACTAGCCGCAGGGTCTGGGCGCCGCGCCCCTCCGCGGCCACGCCTGCGCCCCGTACCTCCCCCGTGTGCTTGCACAGGTGCGCGTCTAGCTTCCAGGCCTTGTTATAATTCGCGCTGCAGTTGAGGAAGGAGCAGATGAATTTCCTCGAGGGCGCGGGGGGCCGCGGAGGCGGGACGGGGCTCTCGCCGACCTCGATGAACGCGTCGGCGATAGTCAGGGATGACACCGCCTGGGTGACCGATGACGGCGGCTCCAGGGCTGCGGGCACCTGGCGCTCGGCCACGCGCCCAGCCACGTGCGGCGAACAGATGCGCAGCCGGCGCCCAAGCTCCGGGCCGACCCAACGCGCGGCCGTGGCGCGCTTCCGGGAGCGCCCGCGGGGCGGGGCTGGAACCCCGGCGTTTGACAGGAAGCCCCGCCCCGCGCCGGCGCCGCTTCTGCGCATGCTCAGGGAAGTCCCGCCTCCGGCTGCCACCTTCCCTTTTGGGGTAAGGAGCTGAGAAGTGGAAGCTGGGGCTTCCTCTTCCCACGCCAAAGGCACCCTGGCCTCACAGGTACTGCAAATCCAGAGACAATGCTTAAATATGACATGCACCCCATGCACCAACGCCTTCTTCAAAGTACGAACCTTGCATCATTTATCCTCTTGCCACATAATTGGTTTATCTTTTTTTTTTTTTAAGATTTATTTATTTATTTATAAAAGCGCTGGGTACAGTCAGAAGCGCGGGAGGGTGAGTGAGAGAATTCACCAGAGCCAGAGCGGGGAGCAGAGCAGGCAGAAGGACCGAAGTACACTGCTGAGGGGAGCAGCGGGCGGCAGGAGAGGTCTGCGTGCCATGTGGGACCCTCACCCGGTGGCCAGGGATCGAACCGGCGCTGCAGAGGCTGCGGGCAGCTTCACAACCCAGTGCTCAACCGCTGCGCCACCGGGGAGGCCCTGGTTTATCTTCTTTATGCATTCATTTTCTTGTATGATTTTTACACGCTTCCTCTGCACGCCTTCGAACTGCTTCCTAAACTTGTCTGCCCATTAAAAATCACCTGGCGATCCTTTAAGAACTATCAAGCCCAGAGCATACCTCGGACCAATTAAATCACAATTTCTAATGGATGGAAAACCGGAATCAGTATTTTGGATATACTCCCCGGGTGACTCCAAAGCCTCAGACAGGTCTGGGGAACTACTGCTTTAAAGCCTTGCTGCTCAGTAACCAACAGTATCTTTAGAAATCAGGACCTCACCTACTCGAATCAAAAAGATCTCCAGTTGATTTGACAAGCATTAAAATTTAAGAAGCACTATTCAGAGACTTGAATGAATATGGGTATCTTGGTTTATGAAGACCAAGTTTACAGGATGTCCTGGAATGAGAATAACAATGACAGGCTGGATTGTCTGATGTTCCACCAGATAGGTATTTTTCACAAGCTGCATCATTCCAAATCATTAAGCAAGCCCTTGTGTGAATGGAGGAACAATTCCCTGTAGAGAAGTGCAATTTTGAAAACAAGCAGTGCTTAAGGATCGACCCTATCTAAACTATACTCCTCAGGTCATACTCAGTCGAGCCTCAGCCTCCTCATCTTTAAAAAGGAGACAATGATTATAATGCCCTATACGTGTCATAAGGACTTTTAAAGGGTGTATGGAAAATGCTTTCCCTGTTTAACACCAGCCCCTCTTCAGGGTAAAAGTCCACCCACATCTCTCTGACAACTCTAGAGGTTTTAAATACTTTTCCTTGTGTTGCTTCTGACTTTCTTTTCCCCATGTCCACCGTACCATGGACATAGCCAGAGTGCATGGTGAGTCTCTGAGATCCTGCCTTTTCTTGGCTGCCTGACCCCATCAGTAGTTCACCTATGTGTCTCCTCCCACCTTCTTAGGTCAGCACATACTGCTCATTCATGCTCATCTCTCTGCTACAATGTGTTCCAGGAGAACCCAGACTGTGAGCCTCAGTCACCTTGCTTTGGATTCTAACTCTAACTGCAGAACTTTATAGACAGTTCTTTTGTCTCCTCTCACCTTTAAACTGTATTATTGTAAATACCAATCTGTTAGAGTCATTTGGGGAATGAATGAGATTATATTACCCATAGTCCCATTTATTATGTGCACCAACACCACCATCCCTCCCAGCCCCCAGCCTGGTTACTACCAACTTTCAGTTCTCCCAACAACCACACTTATAAAGCATCTAATAGGATCTAAGTTGTGCCTTTTTTCTTTCTCTTTTCTCCTGTAAGATGATCCATTGCTCCACCTCTCACCTCTCTGCAGTTTGTCCAGTGTCTCACATACATGATGAGTGGATTTTCTTTTTTATTTAAACATCAGTCACCACAAACACCACATTATTGGTAAGTCAAACAATCTCACTGTCTGGCTACACACCCCGCCCCCCACCCCTTCCTCTCTGTTGACCATGGCATAATTCTGTATCCCAGTCATGAAAACATAGAACAGTTGTTCTCGACCCTGGCTGCATATTAGAGTCACTCAGGAACTTTTGAAAATGGTGATGACTGGGACCCCATCCACACCAGTGAAATCAGAGTCGCTGATCCTCCTCCTTCACTCGCTGGGCTGACTTGTACACACCTGTCCCTCCATTCCCTCCCTCTCTGCCTTGCTTGTCTTTGCTCTGGGCCTAGACACGAGGAACAGTCTCTTGATGCATTTTCCCATCTTTACACTCTCCTGCCTTTAAGCTCGCTTGCAAGTGGCAGCCAGCATCATCTCCCTAAAACATCTAACTGTGTCTAGGTTTAAGTTTGCAAGATTTGTATTTGTGAGGCACTTTTGATTCCTGTTAGATGTTATTCTTACAATCCAAGTTAACAGCCTTCAATTGTGAAACTGGTTCACAACTTGTCCAGGTTCCTCCCTCTCCTGGGCACAATTCACAGCCAAAACCAAATCCTGCTCCCTCTAGACAAATCTTACATGGCTACCGTAGCCACCGTGTGTCTTTTCTGCCTCTGAACTTTTGTAGCACTTTCTTTCTGTAGCACTGAATAGACAGTCTTCAAATGTGTTGAGTTCTCTTTAACTAGCTAGGTATATCATTTCCTATTTCCCCAATCTTGATTTAATTTCCATAAGGGTAGAAACTGGAATATATTCTTTTTGAATCCTATACTTTGATAAAATAAGCTACCATGTTGGAGCAACCCACAGGGCAAAGAATTAAGTGTGCCTCTGACCAACAGCCAACTAATCCAGTGGTCAGTCCAGTGGCCCTCAAGGAACTGAAGCATGCCAACAACCAAGTGGGCTTAGAGTTTAAGACTTAAACCTTCAGATGAGACCCTAACTCTGGCTGACTCCTTTGTGGCAGCCTGGGAGAGACCCTAAAGCAAAGAATCCAGTTAGGCCATGCCCCGTTTCTGATCCACAGAAACTATGAGTTTATATATGTTGGCTAAACCAATGTTTGGAGTGATTTGTTATGCAGCATAACTAATACATAGAGTTAATCTCTCATTACCTCAAATAACTAGCCCTGGTGGTCACAACTCACACTCAGAACATTTGAGCAAAGAGGATTCTGACGGGAGGGGACCTCTGACACAGCATCTAATTTTATTCAGTTTTCTTCCTTCCAAAAATCAGATACACGGTGTGACAAAAATGAGTGTAATTATGGTGCAAACTGGACAAAATAGCTCAAATGTCAACTGCCCTGGAAGATCTTCAATGTGTGGCTCATTTTATTCTAATTTTATTCTTATCTTCTAATGCTTTCTTCTCCCAGATTGGTCCAGCACAGTCAAGGTGGCTAGCCAGGGCCTTTGTCCCTCCAGGAAATGGTGCCTGAAACATACCTTGAGCTTAAAGAAACCGAGCTACTTGCTCTGTTTGTCTTCATAGCTGTGAAGTAGAAAGATCTTTGAATTGGGCCCCCATTCAAAGTTATACCAACTACTTGAGTATGACTTTGCTTAACTCTTTCCAAACTGTTTTGCCTATAAAACATGTAGGCCTATAAAATATAAGGTCTATAAAAACCCTGCTTTACCTCTCTCACAAAGGGAGCATCACGTAAGAACTTGTCAAGTTAATTATCCTCTCTGTATCTGAGAGATTGACATACAACAGTCAGTCCAGGGCAAGTAGTATCCACAGATGGTGAGAATTAAATGAGAAAACACAAGTAAAGTGTGTAGCAACACAGGTAAAGTATGACTTGGAGGGATTGCTCAATGAATGTTAGCTCTCTTCCCCACCATTGCCCTCATCTGTACCAACACCTTCAACCATGGAAATGCCGTATGTCAGTAAACTTTGTAAACTTACTAACACTAAGTGCTCAACGAAATGAATGAATGGATGACCACTATAACATTGGCCAAGGTCAGTCCCAAGTAAGCTGGGTGATAAATGTTAAGAATAGTTCCCTCCACTTTGCCTGGGGATTGAGCAAGAGATTCTAACCCTTAGGCCACATTCTCCCTATGCTCCCATCTCTCAGATTCTGGAGGAGGCACTGATTGTCTAATTGCCCAGTCAGCAGAGTTCCCCAGGCCATCACTTGTATCTTTGTCCTTGCTCCTAGTTGTAACCTGTCAGCAGTTTTCTCATCAGCTCTCAGCATCTCTTCCTTGAATGTCCTACACGAGATCCCGCCGGGGCCACCCAGTGAGCAGGGCTCAGACCCAGCACCGTTTTGCCTTCTTGGTTTTCAGCGCATCCTGCAATTCCAGCCTGGCTCCTCTAATTAGCCCTCCTCTCCCTTTGGTCTGATCATCACATTCCCTGCAGCTGTAATTGCCCGCCAGGGTACCACCGCAGGCCTGTGCTTAATCATTCCTCCCACTTCAAATCCATTTTAGTCTGGAGTAGCCAGATTCCATCTAGTGAGCAGGCCTGATTGCTGTCTGATTATTCACAGGGTCAGGTACTTGAATATGCAGCTTCCATCTACCATGCAGGCAAGATTTTTCTGTTTGATAATTTCCTCTGCTGCCTTTTTTCACTGAGACTCCCCTGGCAGAGGTGAGCAGGCACATAGGAAGTTCTTGCCCCATTTCTGGCAGCTTCTGGTTTACTTTCAAGGTGGAGTCCATCCATCTCTCTTCACTTCCACTGCCACCATCTCTGTCCAGTCTGCCATGGTCTCACCTGACTGCCAGGTACATTGTGCATCTACACTCATCCACCCTCACCAGGGCTTTTCCACATTCCTGCTAAGGGATCCTTCCCAATTGCCAGGACTCTCAGTGGTGTCCCATAGCCTTTAGGATAAAGCCATTCTTCCTTTATAGAGCCCTAACAAGGGCAGAGCAGTGGTAATAATTCGGGGGTCAATTCCTCCAATTATTAGCTTGCTCCAAAGACCAGCCCCCTTTGGCCAAAATGCTGTGCCCCAGGCCCCACAGTACCCTGCCCCTCCTTCCTCATGCTGCTTTACACTCTACCTACATCTGCAATTAAGC